ATAAATTAGAAGAAGCAGGCTACAGTATGTGGTGAAAGTAGAGCCACATCAGATAGAGAATTTGGAGGAGACATGGTATATACCACACCATATAGTCCAACACAATGGAAAGAACCGTGTGGTATATAACTGCTCTTTCCAGCACCAGGGGCACAATTTAAATGAACTCCTACTGCCTGGTCCTACCTTAGGTCCCTCATTACTGGCTGTACTGCTACGCTTCCGGGAACATGCCATCGCCTTCAGTAGTGACATTCGTGGGATGTTCCACCAAGTGCGGCTGCTCCCCACAGATAGACCACTGCTGCGGTTTCTGTGGAGAGATATGAAGCGAGACTGCCCACCGAGCGTATACGAGTGGCACGTGCTTCCCTTTGGTACAACCTGTAGCCCCTGTTGTGCGACGTTTGCATTGCAGAAGCACGTGACAGATCATAACCAGCCAGATGAGGATGTATGGGTTGCCGTACACAAGTCGTTCTACGTAGACAACTGTCTACTGAGCCTCACTTCAAAGGATAGGGCTAAAGCTCTAATCGACAAACTGCGTCACCTCTTAGCTGAGGGGGGTTTTGAGTTAAGGCAGTGGTCAAGCAATGACCCATCTATCATTGACCACCTCCCAGCTGAAGCCAGATCAACCAGCTGTGAGTTGTGGCTTAGTCACGGTCGACCAGATGCTCAGGAGTCTGCCCTCGGCCTGCAGTGGAACTGTAAGTCCGACATTCTCACCTACAAGCATCGTCAGGTTAAGTATTCTGTAGCCACTATGAGGAACATATATAAAGTTCTTGCTAGCCTATTTGACCCTCTTGGCTACATAGTACCTTATACAACCCGAGCAAAGATACTTGTGCAGCGCTTGTGGGACAAGAAAAGGGAGTGGGATGATCCCCATCTACCAGAGGAACTGCTGCACTCATGGCATACCTGGGAGGCAGAGCTGGAACATCTGCAAAGGATAGCGTTACCCAGGTGCTACTCCAGCCCAGAAATGGACAACCCCAGCAGTATGAGAGACATCCATGTGTTCTGCGATGCTTCAGAGCAGGCATATGGATCTGTCGCTTATCTCAGGACTGAGGATAAAAAGGGCAAGGTTGAGGTCTCTTTCCTTGCGGCACGCTCCCGCGTTGCACCCCGGAAGCAGCAGTCCATTCCAGGCTTGGAGCTGTGTGCAGCCCTCACAGGAGCACAGCTCTACAGGGTTATATCCACTGAGTTAACCCTTCCCATCCGTAGCTGCACATTGTGGTCTGACTCAATGACTGTCCTTACATGGGTGTTGTCAGATTCATGTCGCTACAAGGTTTTTGTGGGTACTCGAGTTGCGGAGATCCAGGAGCTGACAGAGTCTTCTGTATGGCGATACGTGCCATCGGAAGATAACCCAGCTGACGACATCACGCGAGGACTTGCTCTTCTGGATATGTGTGATGGCAGCCGATGGACCCATGGCCCAGCCTTTCTGAAGTGTCCACCCGATGGATGGCCTGCGAAGCTGAGTTTGCCTCATGTCGAGCCCGACAGCGAGATGAGAAGATCAGCTATAGTCATCCTGGCAACCTCCGTTTCACATCTGCCAGATCTCCAGCAACACCAGACCTGGTGCGACTACCTGGATACTATTGCGCGTCGGCTGCACGGGGCGGCTACACCAGAGACTCCAATTACAGCTGAGGATTATGCCAATGCTGAATTGGACGCCCTGCGACAGGCTCAGAGAGATTCCTTCCCAGACGAGGTAGCCCAGCTAAAGGCCGGTAAACCAGTGGTGAGAACCAGTCGTCTCCTCACACTTGCTCCAGAATTTGATGAGACCACCGGCCTCATCAGAGTGGGTGGGTGCCTCCGCCGTAGCAATGACCTGTCATTAGACACTATACACCCCATTGTCCTTGACCCTAAGCATCCCTTCACCAGGTTAATCATACAGGATTATGATGACAAGTTACACCATCCTGGGTCTGAGAGGGTGTTTTCGGACATTAGAAGAAGATATTGGGTGTTACGTGGGCGTGAAGCCGTGCGGCACTACCAGAAGCACTGTGCTGAGTGCAAGAAATGGAGAGGCCATCCCACTCCACCTAAGATGGCTGACCTCCCTCCTGCACGACAGCGCATATTCAAGCCTGCATTTTACTCCACGGGTGTTGATTGTTTTGGGCCATTCACCATCAAGGTTGGACGCCGGAATGAGAAAAGGTGGGGAATTCTGTTTAAATGCATGACTACCCGAGCAGTCCATGTAGACCTTCTTAGTAGTATAGATTCCGACGCGTTCCTGATGGCCCTGAGACGTTTCATAGCCCGGCGGGGAAAGCCTCATGAGCTCCTGTGTGACCAAGGCACGAATTTAGAGAGCACTTCATCAGATGTAGCAGACCCTGATCCCATCACCCCCAACTGTCTTCTCATGGGGCGGCGAGACGCGTCTCTACCCCAAGAAGGCCATGAAGGCCCTGAGATTCTGGGTCGAAGAAGATGGCGACATAGTCAGGTATTAGCTGACAACTTTTGGAAGCATTTCCTCAAGTATTACCTTCCAGGACTTCAAGCTCG